GAGTGACTAAATGCTCCCACATGGTTGACACTAACGTGAGAAACTAGCTGTTTCCTCAGAGGTCTGTCCACATCCACCGTGTTGGAGTAGGGGAAGGGGGCCAGCAGGCTTTGGGCTGATTTGCTAAGGACAATTCATATGCACTAAATAATGGGCTTAGTTCATCCAAACAAGAGCAGGGAGCCAAAATGACTGGCTGGATGAGTGTGACCCAGCAGAAGTAGCATCTCCAAGAGAGAGAAGGCAAAATGGTGACCACAACTAACACTGTATTGGTTGACAGTGTCCTTTTTGGGGCTGTTGGGGAGTTAAGCCTGTTGGGGGAGGGTTGTATTTTTGTGTTTCCGGTTTATGTGTGTAAATGTCCTTAAGTAACCCACCTTGCCAGTAGAAGAAACAAGTGTCACACCCAGTTCTGGATTCCACATTAACAACCTCCTTCCGCAGTGTTAAACTTTGCCCTTGAGGCCTTTTGTTTAACTTTTAAATTTGAAAAACAGATTCTGCCCGTCACAGTCTGTTCCACCCTCTCTAGCACACTCTTTTTTCTTTTTTTTTTCTTAAGTAAAATATAACTATCTCAGACAGACATATTTCTTTTTTATTTTAAAATGTGCATCCTGTCCTCTTAGTTGAAAGAAACTATAAGAGACTTTTTAAAAGAAGTTGTTGTTAACGAAGGAGTCAAGTCCCTTGGCGTCATCAGTCATGTCTTCAGCAGTCTCATGACCAAATTTTGGAAAATGGCCTCTGTTTTCTAACTGCAGTCCACAAGGCATAAGAAACAAACAGATTGGCACTGTCAGAGGCACCTACTGCCATCTCAGGCTTCCTGTTTAGGATGCAGTCGGATGGATATTGTTTATGGTTCATAAAACCCAACTACTGTGAGTATTCCAGAATCCCAGCAGAATGGGATTCCAACTTTCATGGAGCTGTAAATTAAGGGGCGGGAAGTGTGATAAAACTCCTTAGAGAACTGCGAAGAAAAAAAAAAAAAACAGTCGTGCTGCAATGGTTAAATGAAATTTTATAAGCACATTCAGCGTGGAGCTGTTTTGCATTACATGAGTTGAATACCTTAGAGACGCCACATCTGCAGGCACTTTATTAAATCCTTAGTCAGCACTTTCCAACCTGATGAGATTACTTCTTCATCTGACTGGCTGGGAGGAAAGCTGAGCTCTTGTCCTGGACTGCAGATTTCTTTTGATGTTTCACCTTGAACGCTGAAAGAGGACAGTTCCCCACTCCCACTCCCAGCACATCCCAAACTGTAGACACTATGAATGTAACTGACTCATTTTACACAACTGGAGTCTTTGTGGGAGTGTGGATTTATGGGCCTGCAAATCAACTGTAGCTGAATGTTCTGGAGGAAAAAATAGATCAAAGCTCTGTGTTTACTTCCTTAATGTAAATGTATCAAGATAACATCCTCCGATATTGTACTGTAGTATTGCAGCTCACTGCAGATAACGGACAGAGATTCCTTTGTAGTCCATCTGGATACAGCAGAGTAGATTAAGGGGCTATAAAGGATGAAGGCAGAAACCATATGAAACCTTAAGTTATATCAGGAAATGTCCGAAGATGATTTTTTGATTCCGTAAATGATTTTTGTTTAATGTGTCAACATTTTCCCAGTAATTTGCTACTCAACCCCACCAATCTCAGATTTCTTTTCTAATTTTCCTGTATAATGGCCCAAGAAGAAAATCTGCAGAATCATTCTCCAATGAATGCTTTGAAACTTGCACTGCTCACATAATAGAAATTAAAAAGAAAATATGAGAAAAATGGGCTTTTCTAGACATGATCTTGTCCATCGGATATGATTAGCAATTCACAGAAGTTTATAGAATTCCAGTGGCTTCCATATGCAGCTGTCACACTCATCATAACAGATTGTAGGCATCTCAGCTACAACTGAACCTTAAAGTTTGATGAGATGGATGAATTTACTATTATTATTATTATTATTATTATTATTATTAGAGCTGTCGATATTTCTGTGGATGACTTACTCAGAGACCTCGTTCAAAAGAAGAAAAAAAAAATCCTGTGTGGTTCCCCTAACTGACTTCCTATTCTGAAAATCCTTGGTCAAGTAGCTGGGTTAATTGTCATGAAGATTAGTGTGGTGTTGAAATAAGTGCTAATGGTCAAATTACAGCAGTGAAAAAGTGGAAGAATAGGTTTTGGTTTGGGCTTGAAAGGGTTAATTAAGGTTTTTTCACAGGTTATTAAAGACCCCCAACCCCTGCCTTCAGACACTTATTGATACCCCACCACAGGGCAGCTTGGCTCCTCTATTGACGTGTTGCTGGTCAGAGCACAATAACCTTCTGTGTCTGCAAATCATTGCTAAAATCATCTCAAGGAAAAAAGTTCCCAAGCTTTAGCGTTAGACAAAAGCCCAAGAGTTGCAGTGCGCAGCTCAAAAACCCAGAGTCAGCAACTTCTATTGATTAAAAACTAACCTTTAAAGTAACTCTGAGAGTGTGTGGTTAGCATTTAAATTTAAACATGTCATGAGTTGATTTGTGTTACTGAATACCAACCAGAAGGAGTAACATTCACATCACATTTTTTTTTTCTAATTCCCTTAAGCAGCTAAAGTATTTCATGAAATGTCAATAGGGCAAAAAGAAAAAGGGGAGGGGGATGAGGCAGGGCCTTGTAGTTTTCTTTCCCATGCAAATATTCACCCCCCAAAAGAAAAGTGTGGAGAGGGAAACACAATAATTAGTCCTTTGTCTAATTTTCCCAAGTGCCAAAGAAAGACAGATTAATTAAATATACAACAGTGTTGGTTTTTGGAGTGGGGGTCTTACTTGCTGGGTAGGTCATAAATTAGGCAGAATAAATACTTCAATGTGTTTGCAGTGGAACTGCTACGTCAGAACCACTGGAAGGTTGGTGGGAGGAGAGCGGAGGGTTTCTTGCTAATGATAGTCACGTCTGGGTCTGTCTGGTTGCTCTTAGCAACCAGACATGATGTAACACCAGGATGAACTTGAACTTGGGGGACTTGAAAAGAGAACAATAGACCAGAGCAATCAATAAAGCCTATTTCAGTGAAGGATTACAGAGCTGCTCTGGGGTAACCTTGTCGGCAAGGCACATACTGAATAGTAAGATGTGTGAAGAAACTTTTTTTTTGCTTTGCTTTTTAAGAGAAGTGCAGAGGCACTGCAGATTTTTGTAGTGCCCTGAGGTCTCGTCCAGAAACGGTGGGATGGAAAACTGCTCCCCCTGCCGACTCACCGGGTCCCAGGCCTTTGCTTCAAGAAGTACTTACTGACTGTCACATTTAAGAAGTCTGGAATTTCACAACTGCCTTAGGAAGTGTGCAAACAGCTTGTGAGCATTATTTGCCACACTCAGAGTTTGAAGCTGTTGCAGTAAAGAGAGACGTGCTTCTAAGTGGATCAGCGCCAGCTATTAGGAGGCCTACTAAAAACACAAACGTACTCTGGGGCCTACCTTCCTCTCCTTCCTTTCTCCCTCATCTTTCTTTTGTCCGGTTAGATTTAGGCTGTGTGTCCTTGCCAGGATGATTTCCTTTCAGGACATAAGAGGCTTTATTGTGTTCTCCAGAGCATGTGGTCAAAGAATAACATCTAAAAGTATACAGGATGAGTAGTTTTTCGGTTTAGGCTTAGGGTTTTTTTTTAACTCCTCTAGAAATCAAAGGTAGCTTGTGTGATGAAGAAATCTTATACCAACCTCCATGGAGCTATCATTTAGCTATTTATCCCTAGGATCAAATGAGTCCTTACTTTACCTAATTGAATCTCTTGGACAAGGGTGAGCCTTCACCTGATGGAATCAACCCAAATGTAGTTGTTTCTAACACTGTCAACTCAGAGAGCTCAGAGGCACTGCTTTGGCTAGAAGTTGATTTTTCTGGGACTCTTGATGAGTGTAGTGAATTTGTCAGGATATTGATAGAAGAAAGTAAAAGTCATATCATTTTTAACCTCACTTGAGAAACAAACTCTAATATTAGTCTGTAATCAGTCACTTGGTTTAGGTGACAAAGAAATGCTAGCACATAAAGCAATGTATCATCAGACTATTGTTCAAAGCTAATCATGTGTGGATTTATGAAAGTAAAAGGTAACTGGGCCACAGATTCACAGAAGGCTCAAAGTACATGTTGAATAGACAAAACCATAAGCAAGGGCTATGCAATGACTTATTTTCCCCTTGGATGCCATGGTAGTTAGTAAAGTTTTGATAATGTTCCATTATTGTATGACATTTCTAAAAATAATATTTTAAAAATTTTGAGCTGAAAAAAGCATTAATTTGTATCCTAAGATCTATCTCCCACACATATAAGGAAGAAAAGTGTAAGGAAGATGCTGTGACTTGCCCCCAGTCACCCAGGATGCCTGAAAGAACGCTTTTTCCACTTCACCAACACATGTCCTCACAGCAGTGCCATTGGCCATGTGTGCCTGTTAAGAGAATGCTGCAGTCATATCTGTAGTACCTACACCTCATTTAAAAGGAGATAGTATGAAAATAAGTGAAATCATTTATGATCACAGGAAACCTCACCCTTCACCCTTCTGCATTCATTCAAGTCTTTCTTGGAATCCTTCTGTATTCCAAGTACTGAGCCAGGTACTCAGTGACTGGGACTCATTCAGTTCCTTGTCCACTTATATCTGCCTCCTACCCGACTACAAAACCTGATTTCTCCTCATTTTGTAAGATACACTCAACACTGGCATGTCCCAACAAAGACCATGAGTTTTAATTTTGGTGAAGTATGTTCAGTGTCTCAAGACTTACTATTTGTCATTCCATGATCAGAAAGGAAACTGCTATTCTATGGTATTTACAAATTGGATATTTATTTACTTATTTTTACAGTGCCGAGGGTCAGATCCAGGGCCTTACAGTAAGCAAGTGCTCTACCACTGAGCTGCATCCCCAGCCCTACAGACTGCACTTCTAATTGCACTTTTCCTTTTGTCTTCCAGTCCTGGTACCTGGGATAAAAGTTGCAACGTCCCACCATCCACCAGACAGACCACCTGACCCCTTCTCAACTCTGTGACATGGACGCAACCTCAACCCAGCGCGGTTACAACTTCACTGTCAGTGGAAGGGGAAAAACACCGATTCAAATCAACTTGTACATGGAAACAGCAAGCATTATGGTCAAACAGCAAAGGCCATAACTTTTTGGGATTTTTTTTTTTTTAAATACTTTAGGGACTGTCGTAATTTCTCATATGGTGCTGGAAATGGCTGGGCTTTGTAACATTTGAAGTGTATCGGTGGTGGCGTGAGCATTAGGTGTGTGGCTGGCGGAGCACGCCCTCGCTCACTGACTCCCTGTTGTAACACACTTCCCTTATGAGCCTGGCTGTTTCACAGTATTTCATGAATTTACCCACACAGGTGTGATCCTCCTTGAGCACTCGGGAGGCACTTGGAGAACTAAATCTTTTGTAGTAGCTGAGATCTGCAATATATAACTTACGGGACAGTCAAAGGGCAATGTTTTTCTGTAACATATTGGAAAAAGAAAATGCAGTTATGTTCCTTTTTTATTTTTCTTTTCATTTGGTTCGGTTCAGCAGTCAGCAGTTAAGTACATAACATGGCCTGCAAGGACAATGAATCCACTCACGTTGCAGAACAATTCCGAAAATGGCAAACTACTACTACTATTCAGTTTTTTAAAAGTTTTGAAATGCTGCACTTACATTTAAAAAAAAAACAACATTTTTCAACAATTTCAACAATGACACAAAAATTCACATGGAAATGGGGAAGATGGTCTGTTTTGACAGAAACTGACAGGAATCAATCAAAACAATCGAATTTTGAATTGAGTAAAGTGCAATTTCATTGGATAGCTAAATATCTTTGTAAGATAGAGATTGTTGAAAATTCTATTTTTGTTTTTCAAGTCCTTCCACCCCAGGACTCTAAATTATTGGGGTAAAAAACAGCCTTGCAAGAAAAAGGGGAGCTATTTTTGCTTTTTATGTTTTTTATTGTTAAACTTGTATCCCTTTAAAAACTGAAGGAAAATTTAAAAAAAAACAAAAAAACAAATCTAATGGTGCTTTTACCACAATATGTTAACTACATTAAATGCTAATTAATTACTTTCTGTTATCAAAGCACATAACTAAAATGAAATCATGGTATCTGTTAATTTTATAAGCTAGAAGTCATATAATGAATTATGCCAATTCCGAAAATTTTTACACGTATCTGGCAACATAGGATTTCTCAGTTATCAGACACCTCATTGTACCAGAGATTGTCCAGAAGTTTTAAGACCTTTGCATCCATGAACTGGGCGATGAGAAAATAATAATAATTATGAAACCAATACTGACACAAATGCTGGTGCCCATTCAGATCAAGGGTACTTGTTAGGGAAAAAAAAAGTTTGCACCCCCAAATGTCCTGTATCTTACGTAAAAAAAAAAAAAAAAAAAAAAAACCACAAAAAACAGAAATGAAAACAAAAAAAGTGCAAGTGATTTTTCTACCAGACAGCGAAGCACCCCTTTGCTTCCCATGCAAGTTCAAGAAGGTTCCCTATACTATACATATATATACACGTTCTGGTTGGCAGGCCCTGCTGGCCAGAGGAAGTCACTGCATGTTCTAGTGTTAGTAACTAATTTTATATAGTTAATGTAGGATAAAGTAGAGTGTATTAAGACACAATATGGTAACCCTCCTCTAGGCACTTGCCTTTAAACTATGTTTTCAGCCCTTCAGAAGGGCTCTACTGCTGTCCTGTACAATCAAGTAACTGAAATTCTTGGGAAGACACTTTGCTCCTCATCTTTCCCCCCCAAACAATGTTGTTTTGTTTTGTTTTTTTTCCTTAATTTGCACGAAAACAAAAATTCCATATCAATGTGCCTTGCCCTGGATAGCGATTATTTGTGGAATTGTTGCACATGCTCCTCTATTGAAAGGGGTTTTTCCCTCGTCAAGCATTTGGAGACACTTTTTGTAAATGTGACTTTTATGTCAGCCATCGTCAGTTTCAACATCTAGAACTAAATAGAAAGTTAGTTGTTCCGCAGATAGGAGTAGTCTTTATTGTCCTGTATGGTCAGTGGCAGTGCTATTCTGAGATCTGTAGATACATAGAATATCAGTATTTTGGATGTTGCTGCATTTTTCAATTTATTTGGAGTCTTCCTTTATTTTTCCCCCAGATATATGAAAATATGCAATACCTGCTTATATCATGTAGAGAAGCTTAGCAATTATTAATTTTTCTTTTCTTTTTTTTTTTTTATTTGACCAAAGTCGGTGCTGCACTTGACGCAGTGTGTTTTAGGTGTTTGTCTTTGTACTTTTTGTGATTTTTGAATGCACGTGCGCAGGAAGGGCTCCTCTTAGAGAAGCAGTCAAACTGTGAAGCACTAAGCTGACCCTGCTTCAAGCAATTTTGTTTTTACAACTGTTCCTTTCACAAGCAAGCCTTAAAAAAAAAAAAAAGACAACTTCTTTTTCTTCAGCTCCCACACCCCATTTTTCTTAGCAGACTGCAGTCAATCCACATTCAATAAAAAGTATATAATGCCCATTTTTATATGCACGTTTTTAAACTTCCAAGTTCTGAAAATTGTTTACTGGTTATCTCTATTTAAGGAAAAAAAAATAAAATAAAACATTTTGGATTTTCATATGTGTCTGATAAGTGGTTGAATAGTTGTTTGGCGCTGTTGTATGGTGTGATTGTCAGTGTACCGTGTCACTTCCTATAGCCAGCCAGCATACTTTGCCTTCCCCTATAGCACTTAGCTGGGCATTACTTTATTATGACATATGTGCACTAAAAAAAAAAAAAGAAAAAGAAAGAAAAAAAAAGAAATTAAAAATAGCAGCTTTCAGTGCTTCACAGTGAAGGGAAAAAAGCCTAGACAAACATTTTGTCAAAACCTTGCAATAAGCCAAGGTATTACCAGTAAATTGGTTGTATATACAATAAAATTGCACCCTTTTTTAAACAAAACAAACTAAGCAATAGTTTGGGCAGTTTTAGTTGTTTTTAGTGAGCATGCTGTAGTCATGACTGCAAAGAGAGAGAAACTGCCCACTCAGAAGATATGTAATTTGTATTGTTGTATAGTTTTATTGATTACACTGATTTATTCTACCCTATTTTATAATGCAGGACTTTTGTAATGTTGTTTAAATGAGGAAAATTTTCTGTCAAATTAGCCTAGTGAAATTTCTGATTGTTCATTATAAGGCAGCGTTCATAGAATTGCTTTTCTTTCTCCCCCCTCCCCACCCTTTGGGAACTGGATTTAAGTTTAAAACTTTCCTGTTTCCTCTTTTTTTTTTTGTAAGTATTTAAATACAGGTTTGTTTTTTTTTTTCTCTCTCAATGGTATAGCATATTCCTATACTTGAGAAGTATAGGTCTACTGAAACACCATTGTAAATGGACGTTACAGGTATGTGGTATTTTTGAAGGTATTTTGTTGTATTAAGTTTGATGAAGCTAAAATTAGGGAACTCTGAACAGATTTGCAGGAGAAAATGTTTTAAAGGCTTTAAAACATTGGGAGGCAGTCTAGGGTGATAACAAGCAGGGGTTAAGTATTCAATACACTAAGTTACATTTTTGTTCATGTTTCATTATCCAGAAAGCAGCAGGAAACTATAGTTCAGTCCTGATCAAGCAGGAAAAAGAAACAACCATCTGAGCGTTTTGCTTTTTAGATTAAAAGCTAAGCGAAGATGTTTGAGGAAGACTTTGCTACTGGGGTGTGTAGACAGACAGAATGAGAGCTATCAGCATTTGAAGGCCCAGCCCTTGATTCAAATGAGACACAGCTGAATTTTTTTCTCTCCCATCAAATGGCATGAACAAGATTGGCAAAGCTAGTCCCTCAGATGACTCTCTGAGTTTTTCCTTTGGGAACTGAAGTCAGAGGCACAAACACTAACTCTTAGCATTTTTCCATATACTTTTTCTTTTGCCCCCACTCCCTGTCACCACGACACTCCTTTCCTGTTGCCACTCACCCTACCTTCCAGACTTTTCCTTCCTTCTGAGGTTTCTGATCCTTCACCCCCTGGCATGGCAGTTACATAGGGTCAGCTCATTCCCCACCCGGCAGCTGCCATCCAGGTGGACTCCAGGCAGGGCCATGAGGCCACACTTCTCAAAGCCTATGCTCTTCATTTTCTGGCAGTCAGAGTGTGAAGGACCCAAACTTTCCAGTCACAGCATCACAGGATTCAGTCAGCCACAGGAATGTGCAAAACCCATCACAAAAAGTTTATCATTCACTTTTTCAAACCCCTTTTGCTCACTTGCTTTCAATTCTGTACTGACAGTGTCACAAGGTATTTACAAAACCTGGATTAAGGAAAACATTTTTTCCCCTGTGATTTATTTTTTGGGGGAGGGGTTTCTAAGAATGTCATTTAATGTACTTTGCATCACATCTTTGGAAATATCTTTCTGTCCATGGTGGTGGTAGTCTGTCTTTCTCTGTGTCTATGTGTGTCTCTGCCTCTCTGGTTTTTATTCATTTCTTTTTCCTTTCTTTCTAGCTTTTGGTAGCAGGCCTCCATAGAACAAGTGTAAAACACAAGCAGCATAATATAAGGAGAGCTTTGGTGTGCCTCACGGCCCACCCTCCAGACCTGTCCTACAGGGTCCCAGAGCTGCTCTGCCCTTTGGGCATGGCTTTCATTACCATCAGCTTCTGAGGCCATTCTGTCTTGAAGTCAATGCATGTATTTACTGTCTGACAGTAAACCGGCCTGCCTTCCCCACCGCCAAGGCTGTGCATTTGTCTAATTAGTGTCATGTATGTTTCCCTTTTATTTTTTCCAATAAAACAGCAGTGGGATGAAAATTGCTTTGATATATAGCAGGTAACATTGAAGCTATTCCATAGCACTTAACTGTAGTGAATACTGTGTCACCAATTCTGAAATCAATTTAATGTCTAATGCAAATCCATTACATGGTGCTATTACAGGCTGACAAAATGATTTACACAAACGTGACAACTTGGGCTCAATTCACTCTGCTTTCCAACAGTGTAAATGCATAGCAGTGTTTATCTGCATGAGAACTATGCACTAATCTATCTGAAGAAAAAACTATATCAACTTTGGTATCTACTTTCCGTTTACTTCAATCCTTGCCTTTTTGGTCATTGTTATAATGCCAGCTTTAGGACAGAAAGAATTATAAGAAAACCAGCATAATACCTGATATATTAAAATGTAGTGCCTGTGAAATCTGTATTATATTGCTCTTCTGAAGTAAGATTTTTCTACACCGGTAGCCTTCGCTGTCTGTCAGTCAGGACCTCTGGTATAGGTGATGTAAAATAACCGTACAATATTAATGCATGCTATTCCATAATGCTTAGTGAACTGTATGAATATTACTCAGAGTTATGTTAGTCTTTTTTTCTGACTTGGTTCTTGTCAGCTAGGTTTAAAGGTATTTCACTGAGAACGCAAATTCTGTCTTTTCTTGATTTCTGCTGTTTTCAGTATTTTGGAGGTATACATTTACTTAAATTCAGTATTACTTGTTTTTGTTTTCGTTTTTGTGTTTTGTTTTCTTTTTCCTAGGGGACAAGCATGGGTGTTTGATTTCAGAAATCAGTACCTGGTGAGATTTTTGTCTCAAAACTACCATTTGAATTTCAAGAACTCTGCTACAAAGCCACGCGGAGAGCACTTCTAAGAGAGGACCATTTCTTTGACCCTCAACAGAAGTTATGCTGATACTAAAGCATTTTAATGGACAATACTCAGCCAGGTACCCATGCTTGATCCGTCTTCATACCAGACCTCCTCATATGAAAAGGAAAAAAAAAGAAAAAAAACTTTAAGAAATCACGTGGCTATTTAGTTTCATGCACAGTTCTTCAAAAATAAAACTCTGTACAAACTTTGGGCCCGATTCATAAGAAAAAGAAGTTTGCTATTAACACGGGTTTCTTTTTTTTTTTTAAATATATATATATATATACACTTTTTCCTGTCTAAATTTGAAATTACTTGCTTCCCAAGTAAAATAAATTCTATTTTATTTTTTCCCTCTAAGCCAGCACCCTTCTGCCTTTTTTTCCCCCCAAAGGGTTACATTAATCAGATTACAGGGAGGGGTACTGAGAGCAGATCCCAGCCAATACTCGGAAAGATTAGCAGGACCCCCGAAGGTGGGCAGCATGTGGGGTAGGACCTCCTCTGTGTGCCAACACCCTGAGTTTCACATGTAGACTCATTGTGCTGTTTGATTCAAAAAACAAACTTTCCAAAATGTGTCTGGACCACACAAGCATACAGTGGAAGTACTACCTCTAATCTAATCAGGCATCCTTCATGGTGAAAAACACCCACCGGCTTGTATAATGTGAACTTTCATCCCTCTACAGTGGTTTCAAAGAGAAATGTCCAGTGAATTGGGCCATTGTTCCTGCTGTTTTATGCTCAACTTCTCAAAATGACTAAAGTTTTTTTTTTCCCTAACTGTATTTTTGTTACTCACACTTTTTAATTTTAATTTTTTTTCTTGGTAATAGTCCATAAATTTGCTCTTTTTTTCTTTCTAACATCTCAACCAAAAGTCCTAAGGCCGCTGGCCATGTTGGGATGGAGGTGTGAAGGAACTGCCAGCTCCATTCTTTCTCCTTGGTCTGGTCTCAGACTATCCTCTCTGCTCCTCAGAGGCACTTGGTAGCCTCACCAGAGATACCAACCAGACTAGAGCTGGAGCTTCTTCAGGTTCTGGGAGGTCCTTAGGAAGACTTTCAAGGCCAAGTACATGGTGCCTCTCCTCGCTCTTAGCCCTGACCTCCTCCCCAACAAGTCCACTGGGGACTTTTCCCACCATACAAAGAAACTGCTCAAAATGCCTCCCAATTTTCATTTCAAATTGTGGGGGGAGGGGATTACGCACTTCCAGCAATGGCAAAAGACATCTATTGTGAAATGAAACACCCCCGTGTTAATAACTTGGTCTGAAATTCGTTTTTATGAGCCGGGCCCCCTGTGCCTCTAGGATACTTGTATTGACTCTCATAGTTACCCTTTTACTTTACTGTGTTCTGTGAAAATTTGTAATTGGTTGAGAATCACTGTGGGCGTCCATTCTTATTCAACTAAATCTCCACAGGGTTTTGAGCTGGTGTGGATTAGTTTAACTCTTGTATTCAACCATTAGTGCTACCACTTTCTCACATTACAATACAATTACTGGAAGCAAGTACTGCATTTCCTATGCAACAAAAAAGGAAAAATAAAAAATTGCTAATGCTATGGAAGCTGTGTTGTCATTTGCTTTACATCATGCCTGGGTGGACGAGTGACAGTTTGGGTGTGGGTTGGAACTTCTCCCAGAAGATGATCTTTTCACACCATGGGACTGTGTTAGTCTTAATAGACTGTTAGGTGCGTAGTCTCCTTCTTGATCTTCTAATGGGCAGTGTTGTTTTTCCAACCTATTTGGACAAATACAGGAACTCACACCCACATTGTGCTTACTGTGTGCCTGATACTAAGTACTTTATATACCGTATCAGCTGGGGCCCAATCTGGAGTCAGGAATAGGATCCTCTATGTTTTCCATAAGGGGCTATAAGGTAGCCTGGGTGTTAATAACCAAAGACTACAGCCAGGGAAACAAAAGGAAAAGGCTGGG